GATTCTGGACCAGACGCCCGTGAAGGAGCTGGTGAGCCTCAAGTGGAAGCGGTACGGGCGGCCGTACTTCTGCGTGCTGGGGGCCATCTACCTGCTCTACATCATCTGCTTCACCATGTGCTGCATCTACCGCCCCCTCAAGCCCAGGACCAGCAACCGCACGGGGCCCCGAGACAACACGCTTCTGCAGCAGAAGCTACTCCAGGTGACGCGCAGGCACCCTCCTGCCTGTACCCTGTCTCCGTCTCCTACCCCAGGCTCAAATGCATGGTCACCAACCCCAGAGCCCACACACACAAACACATTCGCTCAGCCTCTGAGCACAGGCCCGGGAAAAGGCCTACCTGACCGTCCAAGAGCTGGCCTGGGCAGGGAGCCCCAGAGTCCTGCCTGCCTCGTGGGGACCTGTGGGTGCTCTGACCATCCTCCCCCCTCAGGAGGCCTATACGACCCCCAAAGACTATATCCGCCTGATGGGGGAGCTGGTGACCGTCTTCGGGGCTGTGACCATCCTGCTTCTGGAGGTGAGGCGTGGGCAGAATCCGGGTGAGGCCGTCTGCCGGGCACCCACCTGAATTATAGTCCACAAGGGTCTTTGCGTCTCCCTGGCCTCTCCCCAGGTCCCGGACATCTTCAGGATTGGGGTCACTCGCTTCTTTGGACAGACCATCCTTGGGGGGCCGTTCCATATCCTCATGTGAGTCTTCTTCCTGTCCCTGACCCCTTCCGTTGCCAGGCTCTAGTTCCGTTTCCTGGAGCCTTTCTCCAGGAACGAGTATGAGCCCTCTATGTGGTGTCAGGGCTGAATTGGCAGGTGTCAGTCACCTTATTGCTGTAGGCTCCCAGGATAACCCACCCTTCCTCTGCCCCTCCCCAGTGTCACCTACGCCTGCATGGTGCTGGTCACCATGGTCATGCGGCTCACCAACGCCAATGGAGAGGTGGTGCCCATGTCCTTTGCCCTGGTGCTGGGCTGGTGCAACGTCATGTACTTTGCCCGAGGATTCCAGATGCTGGGGCCCTTCACCATCATGATCCAGAAGGTCTGTGCCTTCCCTAACTGTCCCTCATCCTTGTTGCTGTTGTTAAGTGCTGTCCAGTCGGCTCCAACTCATAGCAACCCTACATACAACAGAACAAAGCACTGCCCCGTGCCAGCCTCACAATCCCTGCCATACCTGAGCCCATCACTGCAGCCACTGTGTCAGTCCATCTAGTTGAGGGCCTTCCCCTTTTTCATTGACTCTCCACTTTACCAAGCATGATATCCTTCTCCAGGGAATGGTCCCTTCTGACAACATGACCAAAGTAGGGGAGGTGAAGTCTGGCCATTCTCGCTTCCAAGGAGCATTCTGGCTGCACTTCCTCCAGGACAGATTTGTTAGTTCTTCTGGCAGTCCATGGTACTTTCAGTATTCTTCGCCAACACAACTCAAAAGCATCAACTCTTCTTCCATCTTACCAGTCCTTGGGGCAGGACTTCCTGCTGGAGAAAGGTCCTAGTGCAGGGCTCAGAAACACGTCCTGTAACGGACCACATAGTAACTCGTTCAGGCTTTCTTCTTTCTCTTCCCCTTCTTCTTTCTCCTCCCAACTCTTTCAAAACATAAGAACCGCTCTTTGTTCAAGGGCCATGTCAAAGTGTGCAGGTGGATTTGCCAGCAGGCTCTGGTTTGTCACACCCTGCCACAGAGGGTGGAGTGCTAGACTTGTGAGTTAGACTGTTAGAGGCTGGAAGGGGTGACCGCTCGGGAAATACGTGGTAAGGCTCTCCCTCCTGCCTCTAGATGATCTTTGGAGACTTGATGCGTTTCTGCTGGCTGATGGCTGTGGTCATCCTGGGCTTCGCCTCAGGTAACTAAGCTGTCCAGGTGGGGCTGTGGGAGGGGGAGGCGGAGAACCCACAACGCACAGAGTGCCTCTGGGCAGACACAGGGACGGGCAGGAAGGCGGGCAAAGGGCAGAAGGGGCAGTACAATGCCTGGAGATGGGATGCGGGACCCCAAGGTGAGGGAGATGAGTGCTAGGGCAAGGTGACTCGTGGCATCTTGACGAGCCTCGTGAAAAATAAGGGAACAAAAGAACCTCATAGATGAGCACCGGAGGGCTGAGATGACAGTACTGGTGATGAGGACGAAAAGGGGCCCCCAGAGCTGGTGTGGGAGGGCCATGTGCGCAGCTGCTGTGGTAACCTTCACCCCGTTGCACGGGGCAGCCTTCTATATCCTTTTCCAGACGGAGGACCCCCACGAGCTGGGCCATTTCTACGACTACCCCATGGCTCTGTTCAGCACCTTTGAGCTCTTCCTCACCGTCATCGACGGCCCTGCCAACTACAACGTGGACCTGCCCTTCATGTTCAGCATCACCTACGCCGCCTTTGCCATCATCGCGGCACTGCTCATGCTCAACCTCCTCATCGCCATGATGGGCGACACTCACTGGCGGGTGGCCCACGAGCGGGACGAGCTCTGGAGGGCCCAGGTGAGCCCCCTGGGGCCGGGAGGGCTCCTGCAGGCCAGCCCTCCTACCAAGGAGTGGGCTCAGCTCAGAACGGAGCTGGCCTTCTGTCCCCCATGTTTGCGTGCTTACTGCACAGGTCACAAAATACACAACATATGTGGAAGAACTGGATTACCACCGCTGAGCAGTACTGGAATACATATTCCGTCAAATCGACCCTGACTCACAGCAAGCCCACGGGTGTCAGAGCAGAGCCGGGCACCATAGGGTTTCCAGTGGCTGGTCTATCCGAAGTAGACACCCAGACCCTTCTCCAGTGCGCCTCTAGGGGAACTCGCATCTCCAGCCGTTCAGTTAGCAGTCGAGTGTGTTCACTTGCACAACCCAGAGACTCCAACACTGCAATAGCGGAAATGAACTCCACACTTTCCAACAATTAGCTAAGAAAATGAAAGCTTCAGCTCTCTAGGACAATCAAGGAGAAGCTAATGGACTAAAACAGCATTTGGGAAATTTCATTACAGAATAAAAACATAAGTATCGAGTCTTCTCAACAATATTCAAGTCTGCAAAACCTGACCCAGAAAAATCAGACTTGTTAAAAATGATGCCACAAGAAAGTCCTATTGTAGCAGTAGTCACTCTGTCACACGACCACCACGAGGGCTGAAGATTGCTCAATGAGTAAAACCCTCGTTACCAAATATGCCTAGAAAGTGACTTATCACAGCAAAAGCAAAATGAAATTCTAACAAGTGGAAGCCATTTAACCGTGCGCTGTAGGAAGCCAAGTGACAGCAACTGGCTGATGGAGTCTGCTCATGCGCGTCTTCTCCAGGAGAACCACTTGGTATCTGGAGATTTCTAAACAGAATGCTTATCTTTATAAGGGGCCGAAACGTTTTCTGGCTCAAAATATCCCACATCCGCGAGGACCCCTTTGGCACAGGTTCACCCTCATCCATTTTCCTCGGGCACAAGGTTCATCAACTATGGAAGCCGCCCGGCGTCTAAGCCTGGCTTCCAGCTACTAGGCAAACGCCGTGAGGCCCACCTCGTATCTGCTCTCTCCCGGAGAAGAGGGTCACTGGGCCAGGGGTTGTTACAGTCTCCCGGGAGCCAGGAGCTCTGGTGCCCCTCCCCCCCCACCTGCGTCTCATCTCTCCGCCGGACCCAGCCTCCCTCTGACTTCCCGTTGCCCCCTCCAGGTCGTGGACACCACGGTGATGCTGGAGCGGAAGCTGCCCCGCTGCCTGTGGCCTCGCTCTGGCATCTGTGGCCGCGAGTACGGGCTGGGGGACCGCTGGTACCTGCGGTGAGTGACACGCGGGGCCAGGAGCCTCTGTGCGCCTTGTCCCTCTGCTCAGGCCAGCCCCTGCTCCCAGGGGCCCTGTGCCCACCCACACTGAGCTAGTGCTAAGGATAAGCCAGCAATGCCAAGGAGGCCCCTTTGGGCACCTACTGGTATTGGGGGCCCTGTGCTGACGCCAGCTGCGGAGTCTGGGAGGCTGGGGTGGGCTGGGGACAGGGGCTCAGCCCTGGGGACTGGCTCAAGGCCTCGTGCTCTGCAGGGTGGAAGCCAGGCAGGACCTGAACCGGCAGCGGATGAAGCGGTATGCACAGGCCTTCCAGAGCCCAGTCCCCGATGACCTGGAGGGCGACTCGGGGCAGAAGCTGCACCTGGGCCGCGCCTTCCAGCACCTGCCCCTCCCCACACCCTCCGTGTCTCGGAGCACCTCCCGCAGCAGCACCAACTGGGAGAGGCTGCGGCAGGGGACCTTCCGGAGGGAGCTGCGGGGTGTGGTCAACAGGGGCCTGGAGGAGGACAGGGACAGCTGGGAGTACCAGATCTGACTGCCCGCCTGGACACGGGAGGCCTGCTCGGGTGGGGCCGAGGGCACGGGTGCAGAACAAGCTCCAAGGATGTCACAGCAGGCCTCCAGGGCCCTTGCTTGGGGCAGGAGGGGACCAACCAGGGGCCTGGGTACGCCGAGCACAGCTGGCCTGAGGACAGAGCAGGTCTGCTGCCACCCCCCCTCCCGAGAGGCCAATGCACTGTCGAGCAAAGCACTTTAAGGACAGGTGCACCTGTCGAGCCAGGCCCCACCCCTGCATAAGTGGGAGGAGACCACCCTCCCCAAGGTGCTGCAGCCAGTAGGGGCCCTGCGCTGTGCACGGGTGTGCGAAGGAGACAGGTGCCGTTCTGGGCGAGGCAAAGCCGGGGGGAGTCTTGCCCCTCTGCCTTCCAATAAAGTACCCCCTGCTCTTGCCCACCCCTCGCGAGTCTCTGCATCTCCCACCCTCTGCGCCGCCTTGGAGACCCCCGCTGCCTTTGCAGACTGAGGCTGCCACACTGCCACTTGCAAAATCTCTTCTTTCCCTTTAATGTGGGGGGTCGAGGGCAGGCTGCAGTGTCCGCAGGGCCGGCCTTGATGAGCAGAGGCCTTGGTGAGGGCTGGCCGTCTCTCCATCCTTCCTTGGGCCCGTGTCCAGGGTGGTCCCGGGTGGATGCTGCGTGTACCCACACAGGCTGGGCCTTAGACCTCCACAGCACCTGGTGGCCCCAGGCGCTGTTGCAGAAGCTGAACGTTGTGCAGGAGTTTCTTCTGGTGGCCAGCCAGCGTGACGCCCAAGGCGGGCAGGTCCCTGAGGAAGGAGTCCATCACACCTGTGCCACATGCCCTCCCGGCCAGGGGTGCCCCGCGCTGCTTACTCGAGGCTGAGCTGGGCTATGTCACTGAAGGAGCAGAGCCCCAGCCTGGCGAAGTTGTCCTGGTAGCACTCGAGTCCGATGGCCGAGAGCCAGGCCCGGGGGGAGCCCAGGGACAGGAAGTCCAGAGCCACAGGGTCCAGAAGGGCCTGGGAAGGTCTTGGGGAGGGGGCAGGTGGCAGGTCACGGTCCCCTCACCATCCTAGCCCGCCCTCTCTCCTCGGCTTAAGGTCCCCTCTCCACCCTCGCCAGCTCCCCTCCTTGCTTTTTCTTTTTGTCTGCCTCCACGCCCCCAGTGGCCCCCCATGGCAGACCCACAGCCCTGACCTGTCCCCGGGGCCCCCGACGGCCTGCAGAGTTTCCGGCTTGCGGATCATCTTGTCCAGTGCAGCCACCAGCTGGTCGAAGTGGGGCCGCTCGGCATGGTCCTTGTGCCACGTGTCCAGCATAAGCAGATGCAGCCCAGGAGGACAGCCTGGGGGTGGCGGCAACCGGAACTCCTGCTCTAGTGCCCTTAGGACCTGGGTTCAGAGGAGGACATGGTGACCGGAAGGCAGTGTAAGCGGGAGGAGTGGACTGTCTGGCGGGGGCAGGCAGCGTCATGTGAGAGGGAAGGGCCACAGCAGAGCCAGGAGGGTCCCCAGGGCTCAGAGTGTGAGCGGGGCAGGAGAATGTGCACTCGCAGAGGCGGAGGCCAGAGGGGGGCTCACCTCCTGGTCGGGCATGTCCCAGTAGGGCCGTTCTCCATAGCTCATCACCTCCCACATCAGGACCCCAAAGCTCCAGACGTCACTGGCTGTGCTGTGTTTCGAGTGGGCAATGACTTCGGGGGCTGCCCAACGGAGGATGCAGCCTGGGCCCTGGGGGGAACAGTTCTGGTGACACAGGTGACAGCCACACCCGTGGACTGGGGTGCCATGCAGGCTCCAATTGTGATCCTGTTTAATTTCCTCACAACTCGGGCTGGACGAGACCCGCTCCACCTGCAGACCCGGAGGCTGAGCACAGAGAAACACGACCTCGTCCAAGGTCACGGCTCAAGAGGAGCACATGGCATCTGCCCCTGGAGTTTGTATGCATGACCTCCACGCTAGAGGACTCCCTTTAGTCTTCAAAGCTCTGAGACCCCCGGGCAGGGATTCGCTGCCCCCTCAGCAAATCCTACGGCCTCACCCCACCCGAGGGACCCGGCCCTTGGCATGCCTGTGCCCTCACCTGAGGCGTGTGGCCCAGGCGGGCCACCTTGCACACCAGGTGGCTGTTGACCAGCACGCTGTGGGCACACAGGGCACGGTGCACGAAGGAGAAGCTGGCCAGGTGCTGCAGGGCCGCGGCCACGCCCCTCTGCATGGCCACCAGCTGCAGGCTGCTGAACTGGCCCTCCCGCTGCTGGGGACGGGGCAAGGTCAGTGCAGGTCGGAGGGCGGACACCCACGGACTTGGGGATGGAGGAAGCAGAGCGTGGACGGGAGTGGGGGTGGGGAAGCCGCGCACACAGGGGAGGGGTGCCATGGCGTGCAGGACTCCACCCCTGCCGGCCCGAGCCCCCTCCGGGGCCCAGCCCCCTGACCCTGAGAAAGCTGTCCAGGGGGCCTAGCTCCATAAGCTCTGTCAGCACCATGAGTGGCCGGCTCTGGGTGACGACTCCCTCTAGCCGCAGGATGTTGGGGTGCTGGAACTGGCCCAGCATGGCTGCCCGGCCCAGGAGGGCCGTCTGCAGGTTCTCAGGAGCCCCAGCCCACAGGGCCTGGATGGCCACAGCCTGCTCCCGCCGGCCCCGTGGCTGCAGCCGGCCCCGACGCACATCTCCAAAGGAGCCTAGAGAACAGGGGTGGTAGAAGGGTGGCTGGGGGGCCCCGTTGGCTCATGGGCTCCCACCTTGCTAGAGGCCTGAAGTACCTGTTCCAATGACCTCCTCAAGCTTGATGTATGCAGGGTCCACCTCCCGGGCAAGCTCTCGGACAGCCTGGCAGGGGTCCTCGTATGCAGAGGGGTCGATGTAATACTTCACCCCAAGCCCTGTTGGGTGGGGGCGCAGTGTGAGGGGGTGACAGGGACACGGGACAGGCCTGCCATACACAGACAGGGCCAGCCAAGGGCCCTCCTCAGCCCACGAGAGCGGCTGGTCCCACCCCCACCTGGGCCGCTGTGCTGCTGTAGGCGCTCTGTGTAGCCGGTCTCCCGCTGCTTCCTGAGGACAGAACAGAGTTCTAATGACACTCCCATCTCCCTGCTGCCCCGCAGGTGGCCCCCGCCCCACTGTGGAGGAGCAGCGCTGGGGAAGGAGCCGGAATGGCAGAGGGCTTGGGTGGGGGGGTCCTGCCGTGGGCTTCGGGCTGTGCAGGGAGCGGACACGATGGTGGGTTAGCGGCAGGGGCCTCACCTCCTGAAGACAAGAGCCAGCACGGAGATGGCCCCCAGCAGGAGGAAAGCCAAGGCCCCCAGGATGGAGCCTACCACCAAGGAGAGCCTCTCAGGAAGCTGGGTGGACAGCTCGCCTGAGGAGAGAGTCAACCGAGTTCCAGGTGGACCACACACACACACACACACACACACACACAGAGAGTCACAGGTGCTTGGGCCTCACAGATAAACACAGGGTCACAGGTGAACTGGCCCTCACACACACACATGCACACTCACACACACACACACACACGGTCACAGGTGGATCACGGGTGAGACGGGCGCCTCACACACACACAGACACACACACGGTCACAGGTGAGTGGGCCTCACAGATACAAACAGGGTCACAGGTGAGCTGGCCCTCACACACACACACATGCACACACACACGCGGTCACAGGTGGATCACAGGTGAGACAGGCCCCTCACACACACACAGACACACACACGGTCACAGGTGAGTGGGCCTCACAGATACACACGGGGTCACAGGTGAGCTGGCCCTCACACACACACACATACACACACACAGAGTTACAGGTGCTTGGGCCTCACAGATAAACACAGGGTCACAGGTGAACTGGCCCTCACACACACACATGCACACTCACACACACACACACGGTCACAGGTGGATCACAGGTGAGACGGGCGCCTCACACACACACAGACACACACACACGGTCACAGGTGAGTGGACCTCACAGATACACACGGGTCACAGGTGAGCTGGCCCTCACACACACACATGCACGCACACACACCCACACGTGGTCACAGGTGGATCACAGGTGAGACAGGCCCCTCACACACACACAGACACACACACGGTCACAGGTGAGTGGGCCTCACAGATACAC